TGGAATGAGTTAAGTAAGACTTTGAGGTTATTGGGATGTAATTTGCATTCGAGAAGGGAATGGATGGGGGGCGGGGCAGAATGTTATGGACTCAATGTTTGTGTCCCCTCCCAAATTTGGATGTTGAAATTCTAACCCCAATATGATGGTATTAGAGGATAGTGCCTTTGGGAGGTGGTTAGGTCTGGAGAGTTTGGCTCTCATGAATAGGATTCATGTCTTATAAGAGACCCCAGAGAATCTCTCACTTCTTCCCCATGTAAGGACACAGCAAGAATTAGGCCACCTATGAACCAGGAAGTGGGCCCTTACCAGACACTGAATCTGTCAGCACCTTCATCTTGGACTTTCCAGTCTCCGAAACTGTAAAAAATAAATGTCTATTGTTTAAGCCACCCAGACTGTTTTGTTATAACAGCCTGAACAGACTAAGACCTTGGATAAATACTACTGAAAAATATTACAAAAGAGAGATACCAAAAGAAATCTTGATAAGTATTAGTAGATATGAATTTTTTAAAATAGGGGGTTATTTATGGTTAAAAAGTGATTGGGGTAAAAAAACTATAAATAATGTATAGTTTAATAATACTATATGACTGAATATTGAGGAAAATGAATAGAGAAGATAATTTAAAAAGGAGAAAGCTCAGAGTATAGAAAGGTGAAGAGTCTCTATAAGATTTTCTCTTACTTCAAATTTTAAATTTTTATATTTTTCTTAGTACCTCTGAAAGGAGGACTCACTTTAGTCCTAACCAGTAAATAAATGCCCATTTCCAGATTTAGCAATAGAGATTAGAAGCTTAAATACAACTTTTTTGTTTGTTTGCAGCTCAGTTATTTCAGTATGAGAAGGAAAGAAATGCTGAAATGAAGAAGGAGGGAGAAAGAGGAGGGCAGGCTGGAGTCAAAAATAGAACAGTGGGCTTAGTACAGAGTATGCTCTCTGGTCCACAAGACTGACCCTACTGGGAGCAAGCAACCAATGTTTGGTTTCATTTGAGATATATATATATATATATATATTTATCCCAGCAACAGGAATTGGTATTCTTAGAACTCATCAAAAAATATTTTGGCTGATTTTATTCTTAGTGTGAGGAAAGAATATACAATTGAGGAAAGAAAGAAATACATGAGCAAGTATGGTAATAATGTTTCATGGAAGCTAAGGATAAAAAGCTGAAATGTCAAAGGAAAAACTTAGTTTCAGACATAAGAGTATTGGCTTACTGCTTTAAGATAAGATTCAGATTTCTTATTTAAAACTTTGAAGGAGAAATGTTTTCATCTGTCTGAATGGTTCTGTGTCATATTTTAATAGAAAAATAATTACATTCTGAAATGCTTGTAAAGTAAGGACCGGGTTTTTATGAAATTGTGGTGAGACATAAGTGTCTTGAATCTCAGAGAAGTTTTACCTTTTTTTTGGTCCCAGATAATTGCCTCCTCATATAGACATTTCATTGGAAATCTTGGGCACCATAGACTGAAAGTGTAGCTTCTGAAAAAGTGAGCACTAAACTGCCAATAATAAAAAGCATTGATTTTTTTTTTTTTTTATTAAATTGAAAGGTGTTTTGTCCACTTTGTTTGACCATGGCTAGGAGAAGGTACAAAACAGTTTAGACTGAAACCCAAATCAATAATTTCTGCACTAATTAATGGAGGTGTGCCAGAGAATTTAGCATACAGATCCCAGATCACATTTCCTTGGGAAGGCTTCACAACTGATAGAGACCAAGTTTGGAAGAGAAGCTACATTTAGCGTCTTGTGCCTTGCTCCACTTCCCTGCATCTAAATTACTCCAGACAAAAAGATGGTGCATCCCTGAGTTCGCTGGAACACCGTGTCCTTCCTACCAGTTCTCTTGCTGTGTTTAAGGCAGTTGAAATCAGCTTTGAGCTGTGTTGGGGTTAATGCAGAGCATGAAATCAGCCATAATACTGGCTTGCTAAAAGGTAACACAGAGGCCACTGAGGGCAGGGAAGGTTTCGGAGAAGGGCATAGGCCTTTGGAATGCCGAGGCCCTTGTGACCACTCTGCCATTGGAATGCCACGGGGAGTTGCCTTCCCGAAGCCTTCTTAGCCTAAACTGCCGCCCTGTAATCTAAGAGATATGTGCATTGTCCCTTAGGCTATGTTAGGCAGAACTCCTAGAACATGCAGATTAGCATATCGTATCTTTCCCGTAAACAGATCCTCCTAGTTTCAGTAAGACCCCCTTGTCACACATCACGTGCTTGAGAAACGGTGATAAGGATTTGTGATTATCCTGAAGGACCAATAAAAGCGGGAGCAAAGAAAAGCAAAGGGTCTTTGTCTCTGAGCATGACCCCCTTGCCTTCTCCTCTCTTTCATGGCCAAGTTTGGAGTCATCTTTCATCCATCGTACAGGGATTGGTGGCCATTCCAGGCAGAGCTGGTGGCTTAGGTTTGAAGAAAAGAGGTCTCTTCCTGCAGCTTGTTTAATAGCGTGGTGGAAGGTGAAGATTTGTTTGTATCATGAACATGGGTCAAATCAGTATTTTGAGAAGTCATTAAATTAATTGCATTATTGTTTTTTAATGTGCTTAGCAGTGCTGAATTAGACGCATTTTGATTTCTAAAAATGAAATAGCTAGGGTTATTCTTTTATCTTTCCTTCTTGAAATGGTAGTTGCTCAGAATATAGAGGGCCCTGTGGTGGTCTAAGAAAATAGGACTCCAACTTCACAATAAGAAATGCAACTGCAAACAAACCCCCTCAAGCAAGAGAACATCAAGAAAGTTCAAGGTAGGATGTTTTCCTAAGTCATACGACTCATAAAGCAAAAAAGCTTGGGAAATGATCATAAGACTTCCTAGTTAGAAATGGCCCAGTTTTTTACTCTGCTCCAGCTTCTACCTGTTGGCAGATTATACGAAGTAGCCTCATTCTAGCTTACTCCAACTTCTCCTAATAGCATTACTTACTCGGTTTTCAGGTATCACTTTTCATTTTCAAATCACTTTTCCCACATTAACTAATTGCCATTACACGGGGTCATTTCTACAACACAAATGAGAACAGGGATCCATGGCAGTTCCTTTAATGCCCTTTTTTATGACTAAGTGGCAAAGAGTGGAAGCATGGAAAGTGAGCATCTTAATGGACAGACATGATCAGATTGTCTTTTTTTCCCCTCAGGATATTATCTAAAAGTAATTTAAAATATATTTTCCCTCTACCAATCTTCAAACTCACTGCAAGTATTAAAAATAAATCATTTATTTTATCAGTTCAGCCCATTCCCTTGCTTGATATTTTAAAAACTTTTTCATCATAACCTATCATTTCCTTTGCTGTCTTCCAGAAGTGAGGAACACATTTTTATTTATCAGATAATTTGATTTTAAGGAAATGGCTTTACCCTCACCTCTTCTTACTCAGGCATTCTCAGGAGCTCTGGCATTCCACAATCTAATCAGATACAAGTTATATCTTGGTCTAGAAATAAAGTGTGAATTGTTGAGCCTCCAATATGTAACACTACAGGCCCATAAATGTCACTTGGTAGCCTGCAGATTGAAATCTAAAAGCAGTACTTTGAATACCAGAGCAGAATGTACTTCTTTATATGTTTTTCTTTATAGCCTTGAAACTGAAGATGATAGTTGGATATAATGTGGGGAACACATGACAAAGCAATTTTCTGGGTGGAAAGACTTTATTTTGATTGTACTATAATGATATTATGAAATTTCCATGGATTTGAAGATATAATTATAGTGTTGTTATACACTTTAGATCTTATAATATTGCTTCACTGAGTCAAGTTACAATACCCTCAGCATTTTCTGTAAACAGGGAATATTTTCAGTGAGGTTGCTTCCTATGAGAACAGTTGTCATCAGATTTTAGACCGTTGGTACTTCCTGTAAGGTAACAGCAGGGGAGCGGCGGTGCTCAGGGACCTTTTTGGCCTGGAAATTGATTGCTCCCTAGTGAGACTCAGAGGACTCACCTTTATAGGATCGGATCACTTCTTAGGTTTTTTTCTCCTTTCCTTCCCCTCTCTCTTTCTCTTTTGAAAGAAAGACAGATGAGGGGCGCCTGGGTGGCTCAGATGGTTAAGCGTCTGCCTTCGGCTCAGGTCATGGTCCCAGGGTCCTGGGATCGAGTCCTGCATCAGGCTCCCTGCTCCTTGGGAGCCTGCTTCTCCCTCTGCCTCTCTCTCTCTCTGTCTCTCATGAATAAATAAATAAAATCTTTAAAAAAAAAGGAAAAAAAGAAAGAAAGAAAGACAGATGAGAGAAAAGAAGGAGAGAAAACAAGGAGGAGATAAGAATATCCTTCCTAGACGGTAAGAGCTATTTGCCTTTTGGAACCAGTGAGTCTGATAGAAATGGAAAGATCTTCCTGATAAAAGACAGCAAGATCAGTTTCCTCGCTTGGGGATTGGAATTTTGCTCCCCAGTGTGTGGTGTTGGGTCATCCAGGATGTAGGAGCAGCCATTTTTGCCTGAGTCTGGCTGTGTTTGTGCCAGGCATTGACATCTGGCAATCCCACTCTAACATTCTAGACCAGTCATGGCTTAAACAAACCATGGTTTGGGCATGAGCTGGACCTCGGGGAGCAGCAGATGGCTGGTAAGCTCCTGTTTGCCTGCTTCAGACCCAGGAGGAGGAACCCAGGAATCTGGCCAATTATTCATCTTAAATCTCCAGAATCCCATATGATTATTGTGACTCATGTTGTTTCCTGCCATGTGTTCCAACTGAAAAAAAGTTCAAGGTATCCTGAGATTGGGTAAAATGTCTGAATGCCGACTTAGCTGCAACTTCTCATTGTAAATTCTTTCATGGAGGGGGGAAGCATTCATTAGTGAGGTATTCCCCACACGTCAGGCTGTGTGATCATAATCTGGGCTTCACTTTTAACTTTAGGTATTAAAGCAGTTCTATTTTGTTCATGTTTTGTGAGAAACCAACTAAGATCCTTTTCTTCTTCTTCTTCTTCTTCTTTTTCATCAGTTACTTACAATGCATCTTTAGATGCTATCATTTCCAGTACAACCAGCAATACAAACACTGTGGTGCTGGCTTGGAGAGAGAAATCAACAAAGCATCTTAAAATGACATCCTTCGATGTTGCTGAGGGCATTCATGCTTTTGATTACCACTCTCAGCTCAATTTAATTGGTATGTAAAATAAATCATGATAACTACGAGGGCCTCATAAATAGTCCGGGATGCATATTGGTATGCAGGGAGCCTCTCCACCTTGTTGCTTTACTGCCAGGGAGACAGACTTGAACAGCTCACATTTTATTGCCTGAGAATGTCTGATAATGACGCATTGTGACGTGCGGCACGTAGGAACTACATTGGGGTGAAAATAGGAGGAAGCACCCCGATGCTTTCATTAGTGTTTTTATTAGAATCTGTGGGGGCGTAAGATGATACAGAGGAAGAAGACCGTTTTTGTGCCATGTCTGCTCTTTCTGCCCTCCCTCCACCTGCTGCTGGCGCGGCTACAGCATGCATGTGCGTGGGACAGCGGCGAAATGCTGCACGTTTTTCCCCTGTCAGAATGCAACCTCCAGTGCTTTTTGAACATTTTCAGATTATCTGAATGTTAGTTTAAAATGAGAGGTCCTTTTTTGGACATAAAAGAGGATGTTAGTTGGAGAAATAAGCTGAAAGGTTTCAAGCGTTAACTATTTAAATAAAATATATGACATTTTGAAAGCTGATAATTTGATATATAAATCTATAAATATGTATATATATTGAAACATTGTAAAAAAAAGTGAGGTATTAAAAATTAATAGGGTAGTGACAGAGAATGAACATACAAAAGGCCTTTGGAATGGGTCATATTAATATAAGCCTCATTCGATAATTATCATTCATAGAAAAGTACTGGTATCAGCTAGGAGGCTGAGTCTCTGAAATCCCTAATGATCATGGCTGACAGTCATGGTAACAGACACCTTGAATATGAACTCAGGAAAATGCCAGGAACTACCTTTCGAAGAGAATTGGAGACCTATTAGAGAAGGCTGGGTTAGCCAAGCGAGTTCGAAAGGACTTCAATATCAACCATTTCATTGACTCATTAATAATTATTTCAGCCCCTTTACACTGATCACGTCTTTGTACTTGGCATAGTGCTGGAAAAATAAGAGTGACCAAGCTCTCAGCACTACAGTCAGCCGTCAACAAGAGAAAACCAAAGAGCGCTCTACTGAGTTTCCCCAGACCTGAAGACCCACTGTAACCCCCGCTCTTGATGTGCTCCCTCAATGAAACCAATTCATGCTTAAAAATATCTTATTCTCTCAATAGAGCAGGTCAAAGGTATAATTCTGCTGTTGGTGTGCTTGTAAATACTCAATTATTTATAGGGCAGTGGAAATAATTTGTTTCCATATACTTTCTCATTAATTTGGGAACTTTAAATATTGTTTTAGTTTTTGCTCCCTCCTGGGATAACTATAATGTGGTCTCCACTCCTAGGTTGTGCTAGCTGGAGGGGGAAAACATCAGAACTGGGAAGCGGGATGTCGTGCCCTCCTGGTTGGGCCGCTGGTTTCCTCCTAAGTGGGACTGTATTGTCCTGTCACCTCATGCTCACTCCTTCCCCATTCTCCCTCCAGTCAACCGTTTCCAGTGATAGAACTCGTGCCCCATTAGCCTGACAACACGATCTTCCTTCCTTCAAGGCAGGGTGCATTAGTGCTCAGAGGCATTTAGCAACTCCCAGATATGGGACATATATTCATTTCAAAAAGGAAATTGTATGGGTTGTTCACGTTACTAAAACCACTTTTTTCCCCTTCTAATTCTGATTAGCAACTGCTGGCATCAACAATAAAGTTTGCCTTTGGAACCCCTATGTTGTCTCCAAGCCAGTTGGTGTCCTTCGGGGTCACTCAGCCAGTGTAATAGCTGTTCAGTTCTTTACTGCAAGAAAACAGCTTTTCAGCTTCTCCAAAGATAAAGTAAGTAACATTGTACATTTAATTTGTTTAGTTCTGCCTCCTCAGTTCCTACCTAAATCTGTCTGTGGGCCTGAATTCCTCTGAGGGCTGGTGTGGATTTTTAAAATACACTGGCTAACTACTATGGCTTTGGAAATCTAAATTTGGAAAAGATATTTATGGTAATTTAAGCATAGTCCTGGGTAACTGAACAAAGTATTTCATTAAAAAACTTTTAAACCATATACTCATGGATTTAATCCTTTTAACTGCATTCTTAAAATGTTACATCTTGAGTTTCCAAAGTTCTCACTAATTCAATAGAAAAAACAAATGGAGATGAGGAAATGTTGCTTGGTAATGGTAAGATATGAAGAGGCACAGCTAATTAGCTATTGTTGTTTTGATATTGAGGAAACTCAGTAAGTTAGACATCAAAGTTAATCTGAAGACTATCAAGTATATTAAGGACATTTCAGGGGCTCCTAGGTGGCTTAGTCGGTTAAGCGTCTGCCTTTGGCTCAGGTTGTGATCCCAGGGTCCTGGGATCAAGTCCTACATTGGGCTTCCTGCTCACTGGGGAGCCTGCTTCTCCTTCTCCTGCTTCCCGTGCTTGTGCTTGCTCACTCTCTGTCAAATAAATAAATAAAATCTTAAAAAAAAAAATTTCAATTATGTATATCAGTCCATTTTTCTTTGGAGATATTTATGGGATGTTTTAAATATGGTGGGAAGAAAAACATGGTACCAGAACCAGACAGTCCAGGTCAAATCCTGACCACATTATTTACTACCCGTATCCCCTTAGGAAAATTTCTTTTTTTTTTTTTAAAGATTTTATTTATTTATTTGAGAGAGAGAGTTAGAGAGAGAAAGAGCACAAGAGGGGGGAGCAGGAGAGGGAGAAGCAGACTCCCTGCTGAGCAGGGAGCCCGATGCAGGACTCGATCCCGGGACTCCAGGATCATGACCCGAGCCGAAGGCAGTCGCTTAACCAACTGAGCCACCCAGGTGCCCTGGAAAATTTCTTAAACTCTAATAATCGTGTCACTTGTTTCTCTGTAAAACTTCCATTTTCCATAATGCCTGATTTTATAGATCCAGGTAACGTGATAGATTTCAAGATGTTTGGTTGTGAAGAGAAGAAGGATGGGCAATAGGCTTACTGAGTACAACCTCTGAGCCTTTCAGTGAATCTGAATTTTTATTTTATTCTAAAGCAATACGTGTATATGTAAAAATTAAATAGAAACTTATCTTCAGCTCCTTAGCCACACCCCATCCACAAGTTCTGCCAAACTTGCTTATTTTACTGTACTACCTATTGTGTAAATCTTCTCCCAATTCTGGTTGATTCTACCATCAAAATATATTTATTGGCCTCACCTCTCCCTCTCAGTTCCCCCTGCTCTAATTCAAAATCTCATCTTCTTTTGCCCAAGATTTTGCAAAGGTTTTCTAACCAGTCTCCCTACTTTCAGACCTGTCTGACTCTAATTTGCCCCTTATCCTGCTAATGAGGTGGTTTGTAAAAAAAAAAACTTGTTTAGCACTTCATGGAATTCTGAGTCTAAATACGAACTCCAGAATTCTTAAGCTTTTGTACAAAGCCCTCCCCCAACCTGTTACCCTATTTTATTTCCTGCTTTTCTCTTTCGTTCACGTAATGCTCCAGCCATATCACACCTTTGGCTGTTCCCGCCATGCTGCCTCATGGCTCAGCAGCGTGCTCTTCCTTCTGCCTTTGGTTCCCTCTCCTGATGATCACTTGGCAAATGCCTGTTTATCCTCAAAGTTTCAGAGTTTTTGGAGTCACAGAGGGTGTTTCCTGTACTCCAGTTGTACCTGTTTGTAGATTCTCAGTAAATCTTAAATGAATCTTTATCAAACATAAATATGAAAGAAATAACAGGGCTTTTATTATAACAGAATTCCATGAAAGTGTTGACTGAAAAAAAAAAGCCAATCTTAAAGTAGGTTAGTAAATACCTTATTCATCTTACTGAAGACTATAGCCTGGGAGACAGTATTTCACATTGTTCTGAAGAACTGCTCCAAAGTTTTAAGTTTACAGGGGATTATATGTGAAAAGGGGGAGGGGCATATGTACTTACAAGCAGTTCTCCAAGGTATAATTTTGTGTCACAAGGTATAATTTGTTTGGGTGTAAAAACTAAGGTTTACGGATTTCCACATATACTTGTGAAAGACCGCTTAGGTCATCTTAATACATTATGTTTCTATCATATCTGACTGTTCAAAAATATTGCCAGTATGCTTCTGCTTACCTGGTTTTCTGCTTGTTCCTGTTTTGGGTTTCTCCTTGAGATCACTTGAGATGGTCAGAGAAGGCTGACATCAGTTACTCACTTTAGTGCACGAAATGTTTTATCACTTTAAAAGCAAGTGAAAAAAAAAAAGTCCTTAGAGTCAGAATGGATTGTGTATAGGTATCCTCAGTATTAAGACTACCTAGCCTCTTCCAAAGCTGTTTTATCATTCTATTTTTGCTTTGACATGTAAACAATTGCATTATAATAAAGCTTGTCATGCTGTCTTTTACATTAGTCTAAATCCATTTCACTTTGATAAAGGCATAATAATCTTAGTCTTTATGTCTTTACAGCAAACAACAGGGCTTTCTACTATCAGGTTAAGCCTTTGCTTTATTGCTGTACAGTTCTTTTGGATGTTTTATGGAATTGGAGTTAAGGAAGAGAGAAAATGAAAGAGCACATTTTTTTCAAAGAGCCTTTGAATGAATCATATTTTGGTCAATGAGTTGCGATATTAGAGAATTTCAGACCAAAGTGATCTAGATCTAAATAATTTTTTCCAAAAATGATCTGAGACTTAAGCTGTTTTGTGGAAGACTGCTCTTTTACCATTTTGCCATGATGGTTAAATAAATTTCTCCTTATAGAATTTGATATCATACTAATTAATAGTCCAATTGCACTTTGCTTTGGACTCCTAGCTTTCACTGATGGCGAGGCCCTGCTGGGAGTCAGTAACTTGGGGATTTGGAGGAGGAATTACCATGGGGAGTGAAAGGATTTTCAAAGCCTGGGGGAGATCTCTCTGGAGGTTGGCATTGTAGCCGGTGAGCCTGATTAGGCTCTTCTACTGCTCCTAACTATTCTCTTCTGGGCTGTTCACCCTGATTTGGCCACCAGAATCAGATGGCTTTGTAACTTAATCTTTCATTTAAGGTTCTGATTTTTTCCAGAGCCCAATTTCTACATTGTGGTTCCAAAATTGGCAAGGAAAATACAAAGTGAGACTTTTGTGTGATGACTACATCTTACCTGTTTGTCTTCCCTTTCCTTCTGCATACTCTTCCTCCTCAGCTTCCCTCTATTCATCCAGAAACAAAGCCATATTCATCTTGTTTAAACTACACAAGTAAATGGATTAATGCACTTTCATGAAAATTGCAAATGAGGAAGCATGTAGTGCAAAAAAGTGAATATTCCTTTTGTTCACTTCCCCTTCAGATCAGTTCCTCTCCTAAGAAATAGCCATTATTAACACTTGTGTATATCTTCTCATAATTTATATTATAATATACAGTTGACCCTTGAACAACATGGGGGATAGGGGCACACAGTTGAAAAATCATGTATAACTTTTCACCCTCAAGAACTTAACTACCAATAGCCTCCTGTTGACTAGAAGCCTTACGGATAATATAAATAGTTGATTAACACATATTTTGTATGTTTTGTGTGTTATTCTTACAATAAAGTAAGGTGGGGAAAAGACAATGTTAAGAAAATCACAAGGAAGAGAAAATACATATATAGTACTGTATTTATTAAAAAAAATCATATATAAGTAAGTGAACCAGCACAGCTCAAGCCCATGTTGTTCAAGGGTCAACTGTATTATATATTGTATGTATATAATAATGTATTGTATTGTGTTACAATATATTATTATATATACCATCCTATGTATGTGTACAAATACAAGGTAGTATTTATTATTAGTTTTTATGTAAATGGTATCACACAAGACATATTTTTCTGCAACTTGATTTTCCCCTAAATAATAGCTCCTGGAGATCTTTCTGTGTGACTTTACATAGGCCTATGTTCCATCCACATTGATGTAAATGGTAAGGTTTCATCCTTTCTGATGGCTGAGTAATATTCTGTTGTATATACACCACATTTTTCTCCATTCATCTGCTGATGGACATCTTGGCTCTTTCCATAGTTTGGCTATTGTGGACATTGCTGCTATAAACACTGGGGTGCAGGTGCCCCTTTGGGTCACTACATTTGTATTTTTGGAGTAAATATCCAGTAGTACAATTGCTGGGAAATGTACTTCTTAAAGAAATTTTTAAGATATTGCTGATTTAGATCTAGAAACATTGTACCCAATAGTATACTCACCAGAGGTGTGTAAAGGTGCCTGTTCTCCACAGTCTTGTCAATAATGGATACTATTAATGTGTTCACTCTTGTGTGTAAATCTGATGTATAAAAAAATTAAGATGAGTTTCTTTTTCAGATTTGTTTATATTCATTTATTTATTGTTTTTTTGTGCATTATCTGATCATGTCCTTTCTTAACTCTTTTTCTTATTGATTTGAGGTAGTTTGAAAAATATTTTGATTATCCTTTATCATAGATTATGTAAATATTTTACTTATTTCAAGCATATATCTTTTAACTTCTTGTTCTTTTTCTCATTCAAAACTTTTTTTTTTTTAAACAAAGTCTTTAATTTTTATGAAGTTGAGTCTAAGAAATGATTTTCTTTGTGGCTCTAGATTTTGTATAGAGCTTAGGAATGTCTTCGACACTTCATTTTTACAAAAATATTCTCCTTTGTTTATGGTAATAGTTTTTCTGTTGTTGAATATAGTTTGCATTTACCTTTGCAGTTTATTTTGTGTGAGGGTTTTTTTTTTCTACAAATGGATATCCAAGATTGTTTTTTGAATAATTTGTCTCTCACTGGTTTGAAATGCCATTTGTTATCATTTGAATTGCTATATATATATTTG